ACTATTTGCAGGGATGAGTTTTCTTGTACTGTCAGTACAAATAACGCAGGCAAAAGGCCGGGCTGGGAGCAGGCGAGAGGCAGAGACTCACCGTGCAGCTCAGGGGAGCCGCTGCCGACAGGCAGGGTCACGCGAACCGCAGCGAGCGGCAGCACAAGGCAAAGACCATCTCTCCTGCCTAGAAAACGTTTCTCAGCCCTTTTCAGGCAGTGGCTTTCCAGCAAAGTAGCATTGTCTCAGCACCATCTCCAAACCCAAATATTCCCTGAAGAGAGATGAAACATTTATTTATTTTAGTTAGCGTGATCCTGAGAGCAAGACTGCCCACACCCGCTCTCCCCCCACCAGCTCCCGAGGTATCACAAACTCCTTTGATCGTGTTGTAGCCCTGAAGCACAAGGTGACCTACTTTCTTCACCACTGTTGGTTACTGAGCTAGAAGAGACTTCTCTTGAAGACTTCTTGCAGCAATGATTCCCCTTCTCCTAGCGGGATGCTGAACCGTTTAGCTGAACAGCTGCAAGATGGGAAGTCAGACTCATCCAGACTAAGAGCAAACAGGGCACCATCGTGCCTCTCATCCCACGGCACCAGCTCTGCTCCTATGCCGTGTTCTTCAGTGCTTTCCTCAGATGAACGAATTATACAGGGACCTAAAATAGAAACTGATGAGCAGAAATTCCACCAGCATGTGCCTCATGCTAGCAGAGACATCATTTCCAAGCACAGAGAGGATTAAACTATGACAAAGACAAAAAAGACCGAGAGCGCACAGGGCCCACCTCCTGTAGGGAACCGCGTTCAAAGCCCGTTTGTACAGAAAACACAACAGCTCAGTGGTTGCATCTTAATGTCAACCAGTCCAAAGGGAACAGATCTGCTTGTTCCAGAGCAGGTAAGACTTCAGCTTGGCTCCCACTCAAAGATCTGGTACAGGAGGCTCAAGGAATATGCTTTCAAAGGGGGTCTTGCCAAAATTAAATTGATAGTAGAGACGGGGCTTTTATGCCACTACGTATTCATTCATTTTATTCAAAAGAAAATCAGCAGGATAGTCTTGTTGCCACAGAGCAAGCATTAGTCACTGCACAAGACTCCTGCAGTGCAGAGGGTGTTGTAAGGCTTTCGGTTTGTTGGTGGGTTTTTCTGGTGGTGGTTTTTTGTTGGTTTTTTTTTGGTTTGTTTTTCTTTTTTTCTTAATTCCTGATTCTTACTAACAGAGACAATAACTGTCAGGTAACCTGTCAAGCTTAGCTATGAGCAGAGATGTGACACTACGCATTGTCTCGTTTCCCCCATCTTCATATTTAAGCACCTTTGACTCAGCTCTTTCAGATACTCTGATACATGTGAATTCAGACCAAGAGGTTTTTCAGGATAGACACCATCTCTTGCCGGGTGCTTGTGCAGCACCCAACCCAGGTAATGCTAACGCCAGCTAAAGTCAGATTGGAGCTGTCTGTGGCCAGAGATCAAGGAGCAGAACATCAAAGAGTACCATAGGCAGAGCCAGATGGTCAAAGCCATACCGAGGAGCCTCCGATACCGAGAGGTTTGTCATCCGTTAATGAGTTCTTACTCCATAAACCGCAAGGAAGAAAATTGCATCCACGTGAATACAGGAGGAATTAGCTTCTATACACGCTAGAAGGGGAATCCTGAGAGAACACGGGCGAGATTCAAGGACAGTCAGGTACAGGTGGGGCTGGAAGGGCGGTGAGGGTGGATTCGCGGCGGCTGCGGAGCGCTGGCACGGCCGCTAGCACCACGCTGCGTGCCCAGGGGCTCGCCCGCCTGCGGGGCCACCCTGCTCACGTGGCTCTGCCCAGACCAGGGAACCGCCTCTGCGATAGCCTGGCACGGGCTGAGAGGGCAGGGCAGCTCCAGCGCGGGCTGTGAGGGCAGGGCAGCTCTCAGCCTGCTCCCCAAAACCACTGATCCTGCTGATAACCCCGCCCCCGAACTCCATTATCTCAGTTCACCTGAAGCAAAAGGAATCTGAAACAGCACCAGGTCCCAGCTCAACCCCGTCCCCCCCAAGCGCTGCAGCCCACTCTGAAGGTGGAAGTAGTAAAACATTTCCTGTTGTCCATCTCGGGAGCACCTCACTGCTTCTGCAAAATGGAACCAAACCAGTAAAGTACCCAACCTGTAGTCATGCTTTCATAACACCACGTCTTTGATCTAGCAAGTGAGTTTGCAAGACAGCACGCACCCCACAGGAGCAAAGCTCTCCTGTGAGTCAGAGCATCTGTAGGTGGGAGGCCCTCGTATGCTATACGCTCATTAAAAGCAAGAAAAGCAACTTAATGGTCCACAGCACAATCCGAGATGCAGTACTGACAAAGTCCAAAAAAGTTTGAAGATCCAAATAGAAGACATACCAGGATTTAGACTTGGGGAAACAGCCTTTGGGCAAAGGGCTGCATGGGGGCGAGGGGGCACGAAGGTGAGACAAGCACCTCAGAACCCCAACCTCCACACGCACCTGCAGTACAGCAGTTCTTTTAGACAGTTAGTTCATTTCTCCTCAAATGCAGAACGACAACAAAGAAAAACAAACGAACCCACCCCAACAACCACGCAGTCCAAGCCAACTGTCAGGGAAGAGATCGTGTGTTCACAATTTCAGACAGCTCAAGGCCTGGACTTGCAAAGACGTTAAAAAGATCAGGGGTCAGTATTTTCAGAGTAGCCATGCTTCAGGTATCAATAGCCAAGCTTCTGGGCAGCACGAAGCCACGTGAGCAGAACTGAGAAGTAAACTTTTACTGGACTGTGGCCCAGTCAGCAAATCTGACCCATCTTTCCGTCACAGCGTAGGTTGGCTTTGCGGAGAGCACAGCCATAATGAAAACCTGCTCTTCCAACTGATAGAGAATGACAGCAAGAGGAGGAAAAAACCACTGCAAATACAGCAGCACCGACTGAGATTCTTGAGTTCTTTGACCTTTTCTCTGGCCCCTGTCCCAGCCTAGGTAGAGACCCTTGTCATTTTGTCAGCGTCGCATTAAAGCCCTTTCAAGCTGTCAGGCTCTGCCTCCTCAACAAAACCAGGACGGTAGAGGGAGGACACGGAGGTGTTTCCATAAGGAACCTTTTCAGTTTTTAAGCTCTGAATAGGGACTGCAATCACAAATTTGCACTGGCAATTTCAAATAAGGTTTTATCCATATAATACTTTGCCCTTGTGACTCTGATAACCTCCTGAAGACAAGAGTATCAGAGTTGTCTTTACTCAAACCTAAGGTTCTGGACCTTCAGAGGTGTGTTCCTTGCACAGACCTTCCGAAGGGGCAGACACCCAGAAGTAGTTGCACACTGCTATTCCTCTTCACACCGGCTGAGTATCTACCCTTACACAGCTACACAGGTTAACCGAGGAGAAACTGCATTGAAGACGGGCAAGGAGGCAGGATGCTTTTATCTTCTTCCAGGTCTCTGGCATAAACACTATGTTTAGCTAGGCAGTAAGTTTGGAAGACTGAGACTAATTAAGACAGATTCACAGAGTCTGACTGAATTTAGCTCCTTGAGTTCACGTGAGGGTAAGACAGAGCAATGGCACAGTGGGAATGAAAAATAGTCAAGAACTAGAAGTAACAACAGGGTGAAAGCAGAAGGCAAACCCCAGCAGGTGCAGGCTGTTAAAAGCAGCGGGCGAACCGTCCCCACGCAGCAGAACGGCTCAGCAGCGAGTCCACTCCCAGTCCAGGCAGCAAAGCCCACGGCCCCTGGTACAGCTGCGCCCAGGAAGGAGCTGGGATGGCAAGGTGAAAAAATGAGACACATCCTTCTGGTCTCCTGCATCTGCAGAGAGAAAGGGTCAACGCTAAGGCAAGCACAGCTCGCACATGTCTCTGTAGAAGAGGGGTACAGATAAGCCCAAACATCTAAAACGTGCAGGCATAAACATACCATCGATATTGTTATCTAGGAAGCAAAGGTTATAAGCTCCTTTCATGACCACACAGTCCATCCCTTCCCTTCGGGGGCAGAGTTTACACGAACACTTCGTAAAGGCCGAGCAGAGCATTAACCAAAAACTGCATTTCTGTGCCTCGTCCTTTAAGAAATCAGCTTGACACCGACATAGCAGCAGGTGGCCTGTAGCTACCAGTGACTGAATCAGTGACAGAGAGGAGGGCAGCGAAGGGAAGGCCATTTCTTTTTATTACTCCTGTTTCTCTGAAATTATGACTGTCACTTCTAAGAACTGTTTACTTTTCCTGGTATCTCAACAATCTCCTCCCCCACATCCCCAGTCCAAGTCCATGTTCAACAACTTCCAGACAGGTATTCTCACACGTACAGTATGGAAACGGTTGCTTACGCTTGCTACTGCTTAAAAACCCCACTCTTGGCGAGGCGTTTGGGGAGAGAGGGAAAATGTAGCCACTGAAACAAATATAAATAGGTAATTTCTAAAGAGTAAGACACTAGGCAAATTATAAATACTAAACATTTATTATTTTTCTCATAGGAAGGTTGCAAGGTTCCATTTCAAACAACAGGGCAAGGTCTTTCATTGCTGTTGGGATTTTGTTTTGTTTCTTTTAAGGGGAAAGAAAGAAGAACGAGAAACTGGTGTAAAGATACTACCAGAAGCAGTGCAAATTTAGATTTAATTTCTCTCTTACCTTCACCACCCCAGTGCTGAACTGGCAGGCTAAGCCCTTCCCAGTTAAATGAAGTCTACCTTAACATCACCCAGTTCCTGGTGCATCACTGCACAAGAATCACAGCTCCCCTTCTTCTTTCACCCTTCCTCTACAAGAAGGAGCTAGTACAGTGTACCAACAGTAAAGCCTGGAGAAAGCTAACACGGTGACACTTCATAAAAATTAGACCTAAACGGAATGAAAATTAACAAAATTGAACCTTCACGATCAGCCGTGCACAGTGCAGAGATATCCAACAACGCAGCTCACCAGCACTGTTTTTCCAGCTTCCTGTCACAAATACACTTTACACATCCACAAAAAGACAAAAGAGGAAAGTCATATAATCCAAGAACACTTTACTTTCGGTTTTAAACTAAGGCAGGCAAGCTTTTGAACAGGAATTACTGACATCTTATGAAAGTCCATCATTACATATCTGGGAATGGGAGGCAAGTCTTGCCTTCATAACAATTGCTCACAACGGGCAAAAAAAGATTCATTAGAACTACCAAAAACCAACAGGACAGTCGACATCAGCAGCACCCATCGCCTTCCGCACCGGCACCGCTTACACGGATGCACAGACTGAGGTTGGCACATGCAAAGTCCCATCATTTCTGTGATCCTGTCTCACGGGGAAGGCAGTCCCTGTGGCTGCTGGGCCCACGGCTTCCCGCCAGCAAATGCATTAGAACGTGATGTTTGCAAGACCTGTTTGAAAAGAAGGAGGGTGGGGGGAGAAACAAGTGCTTATTCTTATACTACCTGTACTTCACTACCATTAGGGCAGTTAGACACAGGAAGGAGGATGCTTTGAGAATTATTATTATTTTTTTTTAAACTTATATGTAAAGGATTTGGTGGGAGGAAAGGGAATTAGGAAACAGGTTGATCTGTACTTTTCTAACCCTTTTTTGATTGTGATGTAGCAATTAATTTAAATAAGCCAAGCTGAAGGAGTACTGAAGTTATTGAAGGCAGAAGGAACAACACAGAGGCTGCTGCTGAACCTAAGGTCTGCCCATAAAACTAAAAAGAGAAAGCTGGGGAAAGTACCATTAATGAGGGCAGTAAATTCACCCTGGATAAAGAAAAACTGCTTTAGATTAAAGCATATCCATGCATTAGATGCTTGATTATCTCCTTTGAGATTTGTCTTTTTTGTCTTCTAAAATATGCTGCATCACTTAACCTCAGCACCCAAATCTGTCCTAAATACTTCTCTAATCACAGCAAAGAATAATGCCAGAGATCCCAGGAATACTGGCTACTATGAATAGGTGACCTTTTTGCCCTTAGCTCCTCTCGAAATAAGTTCTGTATTACAGTCATCACTTTTTGGCCATTAAGAAAAAAAAAAATCAAATGGAAAATGTGCACTTCTGCAGCTCAGAACTGTGGAAGCTGCAGGATGCGAGCCAGCAGCCACCACTGCCTAGTGCCTGGTACAGCAGCAGCAACAGGCTCCTGGAGGTTCAGTTTTACCAGCTGTTTCAGATGCTTTGCTACTCAAGTCGGGCTCCACAGCTTCAGCAGAGATTGTGTCTCCTCACATCTGCTAAGGCACGGGAAATAACACTTGTTCTCGAATACCGCTTTGTCAGGAGTAAGGGAAGGGCAGAGAAGGGGAAGGAGAGGAAAAAGATATAGACTGGCAAGCAGAGAAGTTTTCTGGGAAGACTTAAAGTCCCCGAAGTTGCAGATAGAAGCAGAGATAAACTCCCTGCAAGACAGTTGTCTTTCTAATTTGGACAAATAATGGCTGTAGACATCCATCCTTCACCTGAACCACAATTTTTTTTTTTTTTTAATTTCTTAAGCAGCAGCAACATAATGTTACATATGCATAGATCAGGTCTCTACGTTTCAAAGATATTCCAGTCTAGGAGAGATGGAATTTTAAGAACAAAAGGAACATTTTAAAGAATTAACTTCAGAAGGAATTTCTTCCCCCGGGAGAAAGCAGCATGGAAAACTCAAGTTTCAGATAGATGTAAACGGGGACCGTGCAGAAGAAGACTGGGCTAAGTAATACGAATTTATTTTTATGTTGTCAGGACACTGTGATTTCATATACCATGTGCCCATATGGCACTTTACATGCATAGGATTTGTAAACCTTTCAATTAGCATTGATACTATAAAGCAGGCAGTTATTTAAAGTAACCCATACGGCATCTTTCGGTGTGAAAATTCTAACTCCCCTGTACTGGACAGGCTTCCTTTGGGGCAACTCAGATGCCTGTACAAACCCCCAAAAGGCTGCGGAGCAACAGTCACAATACACCCGCTGGGAGGCATTCACAGCCCCAAGCAGCACAGAGGAGCAGACCCCGGTCCTGCCGCAGGATACCGCTACCCTCCACCCGGTGTACACCGGCCCAGCCTCTGCGTCCGACCCCGACGCCCAGGGTCACCCCCACCCCCGGGGGTGCAGAACATTACCCAGGTTACTGCTGTCCTTTGAAGCCCAGCAGATGCAGTAGTGCTGCATTAGTTGTTCAAACAGTTCCTTTTCATCTAGGAATTCAAGTCCTTCTATTCTGTAAGAATAAAATAAAACCTGTGATTCAAGCTGGAGTCCCAGGATAGTTTTTAATGTTCTCTACAGCCAGTAAGGCAGTTACCCGCTAGTAAATCAGTACAGGTGTTTGTCCATTACCAAGATGCCACCACTACTCCTACTCTTTGATGTCAATGTATGAAACAAGTGACCCGCAAGATGTTTTCAACCTCTCATCCCTGGAATTTCATGTTCCAGGACTAATCTGTGTAACTTCTCATAAAAAGCTTTAATTCTCTTCTAACCCCTTTTACTGCATGTATACTGGTCTTGCTGGATTTAAGCAGACATAATAGCACAGCCTAACGGAAGGCGATTTATCTTTACCAAAGGATTACAGTGAACAGTTGAAGATACTATTTTCTCCAGACAATCACAACAAGTCCACATTATGTCTTGGAAGAGTGATGGGTACACCAGTACAGCTTCTAACAACTCTCCCACATGAGCTCATGATGAAGCACAAACCAACTGGTACATATAAGATCTGAGGATTTTTTTCCTAAAATGGTTCCTACCTAGGATTCTTAAAGTAAGATCTTTGAATGTCTTCCACCAAACAAATGGGAGAACTTTTCCCAAGCTGTGCTTGTTTTAAAAAAGTTTAACCTGGCACATTCCTTTCTCTCACTCTAGATTACTCGAATATCAGAGTGTTTATTTTCCATGCTAAATATTTGGAAGGGCTGCTACTGAGGATCAAAAGAGGCTGAGGGGCAAAAGTTCCTAAGTACACTCACAGATGTGCAAGTGCTGCAGAAAGACACTTTTGTAAAGATTTTTATAAAACAGAAAGCATTATTTGCCTCATTAATACCAAAGGACAGAGTTTACATAACCTGTTTCTTGGCATTTGGAACAAGCGGAAGGAGCTGAACAGATCTAAGGTAGTCAAAAATGCTGTAAAAAAAAGTACAAGCTGTGTCTCTCTACAAGTGCCATATGGTACAATCACACAGCCCTATTTAAACAACCTGTGATTTTCAGTCTCACCTGTTCCGTTCTATGGTTTGAGAAATCCCCATATGCAAATACTTATTCTGACCAAAGTAACTTGTTCAGCTAATTCAAACTATAGGTATTGAATGACTCAGAGCAATTCACACTTCATATTATATATCTAGGAAGTTACTCATTAAAAACAGTTTCCCCCTTTTTAGCTTTTCTTTAATACGAAAAATTTAACAAAATCCATGCAGCTTACTGACTGTTACAGCAGCCTTTAGTCAGACCCTCTACACACGAAGCTCTGCCTGCAGACTCAGCAGTCTGGCTCCTAAAGGTGATATGAAGGAAAGCATCATCCATCTGTTGAGAGATGGTCACCCCATGCTGCGGGGCACACCTCTCCTCTCTGTCCCTCTTTGCTTGCATAGTGCAATAGGCCATAACACTAAATTACTGCCCTGCCTTGGTTCATTACCTAATTATGCTGTCAAGGAACAAGGAAGATCAGAACTGGTCATTTTCCACCCACCTGTAGTAGAAAAGCAGACGGATAAGTAATCTGATCTAGGCCTACAAGACTGGAGCAAACCCCTGGATGTCACCTCCCTTGGGGACATGAGAAGTAGCTGCCTGTTCTGAGTGTATTTTAGGACCCAACTGGCGTTGTGGAGGCTGGATGTTCACAGGAAACATCTTAGGTACTGTAAAAACTCAACACAGCATTTCCGCAGCATCTTCCATCTGCAAATTTCTGTCATGAGACGCTTTATGTCACACCTAAATAAAACACCACCACTGCCTGTCTACTCCTGGCAGCAATAACCCTCTGGATCATTAATGTTGCTCCAGGCGTTATCCTTGAGGCTCTGCAGAGCTCCACACTCAGACATGTCCTGTCTGTCTAGCAGGCAACTGCAGGCAGCCTCCTCCCTGTTGTATCAGAGGATCCCATACTAGATACTGGTGTGAGCTACCCTGGAAATGGCATCTGAAGATGACTTTTGGCCGCAAGCAAGCTATCAGCAATACCTTTTGACATCGGCCTGTGGCAAAAAGCTGTACACTTTCATCATATCAATGGCACGTGCAGTTTCCCAGCCATTTAACAGCAGTCGTTCCCTCTGTAAAATAAACAAGCAGCACAGTTTTCAGAGGACTTGAGGAAAAATACCAGAGAACAGTTTTTCCCCCTAAGGATTTTGTAGGCCATCTGCTTGACCTGTTCTTTGAAGAGCTCTTACACTCTTTTCCAAGCATCTGCTGCTAACCCCTGTGCAGGGAGGACCGTGGGACAGATGGAGCTGTGCTCTGATCTACTGCAGTTTTTGTACTTTGCCGAAACTAAGCAGCATCGAGCGCCCACAGCACTGAGAGCAGGGACCCGTGGCACCACAGACAGGAAAGGGTTTCAGCAGGCAGCAGCTGCCCCACCCCAAACCCGCTCTGGTCACTGCTCTGGGCCTTACCCTGCACACAGAGAGGCAGAACTTGCAGGCAGATTAAATAAGTTTAATATCAAACACACCCAGAGCTCTGTGCCCCTTTTACCTGAGAGTCTAAGGATCTGCAAACTTCCACTCCAGCCAGGTTACACTGTCGTCTCTGCAAGTTCTCAATCATGATCTGTCCAAAGCGGTCCGTCATATTCACCTCAGGTAGAGAAGGAGACAAAAGTGTTCCCCCTTCCGAAAAAAACGTAATCGCAGTGAAAAGCAGTAACTTGGTTAAACTCTTGAATTGTCTACGTCATAAAACGTACAGGATAACATTAAAGCAAGCTTCACATTCTTATACCAGGTCTCATCTCCCACTGCCACCATCTCCCCGGCTACCTCACGCCTACAAGCTGAGTGCCCCTCCAGGGGTGACAGCGCTGCTGCCTTTGCAGACACCGGGGCTGGGCACTGAAAACTGCCTCTGCTTTAAGTTGTTGGCAACTTGGTTCAGCCCTCCAGCAGTGATTTACAGCTCAGAAGATCCCGTTACTAATTCCTGGAGCCACCTAGTTCCCCTGAGGCAGCATTTTAATTCCACCCTGAGAAGCTGAGTTTATGCTGATGTGATTTTTTGTTCCACTTTGCCAGAGAGATAATTACATAATGTTATACACTCACATCTAACATTCAGCATTGTTTCTTTTTCCTCTGTCTTATCTAAACCAATATTCTATGGGTTTCTCCACATATGGATTAAGTCTCAGTTATTTTGGTTCAACATAGCCTAGAAATTGTCCTTCAGGAGGGCTGTATATTCTTTACAATGAGCTAGCAGATCTACAAGATAAAAGACATTACTGAAGAAATTCAGCAGAAACCACTGTCCCTACAAAACAATATGGCCCACTATTTTACAAGCACAACTCCCACTTTTGAGAGCAATTTCTAGGACAATAAAGCAGGTTTAAAAATGCCATTTTTGTTTTACCTGCTCATAATTTATAAACATCGCCACTGGAAAGGTGCTTGCTGCCCACTTTAAAAGATTTGCAGATTGCTGTGGTGTCATGTAAACCAGCACACACTCTGCTACCAGAAGCGTTGGCAAACTTTAAAAGAAAAAAACAAGAGAACTATTTCTAGCAAAAGAAAAAAAAAATGTATAAAGAATTATTAGTAAGCAAGTAATTTCATGTCCCCAAAATTTCTTAAGAGAGCTGCCCTTTTTGTGAACTAGAGATTTAAGACTGAATGAAATCACTTCTTCAAGCTGACTAGAACTGGGTTTTCTGGCAATTGATGAAAATTAACTGCAGGGGACTCCCATAGTTACAAACTAGATATTAGGAGACGATCTCCCCTAAGTCAGCCACACGATGAACACAGAACAACATGGATTCTCTAAGCCTTCTCTGAGCTGTGGTAGCGTGAACTGAAGTGCATATTAAAATTAATTTTGAAGAAGAATTGTACCCTATATACACAATACACACTCTTTTAGAGACCAGTAAAATTTGGAATAAAATACAAATTTAAAAAAAAAAAGTTTTCTCTTTAGAAAAGTTCTAAGAAGAATTTTAATTAGACAGATTTGTTCAACATCTGTGAAATAAGCTTCACATATTATTATCTAACAAAACGCAATCTATAGTTTGCACATTGCCTCTTCCCCCTCCATCCACAAAAAAAACCCAAAATAGACATCTGCACAAGTAATCTTCCTCAGAATTACGGAGTTTTCTTTTAATTGCTAGAATGAACAGGAAAAAGAAAAGTCACTAGAAGCAGAAGAAATTCCACAAGGAGCAGCAATGTAGGCAAGCAAGGCAAGATTTCAGGAGATAGAAGTGTAAAGATTTAAATGGCAATTTGATGCATTCTGCTTACCCATATGCTCTCTCCCACCCAGGCAGATAGCCGCTATTTATATATCTTATATTTGAAAGGTATGTCCATCATCCACTAAGAGCTTAAATCCTGCCC